GCGAGGGTGTGGCAGGCTAGATGGCCCCCTTGTCTGTGTCCCCGCCATGTGTGTCCCCTGCCCTCCCTGGCCCACAGAGCCCTGATGCAGGGGCTTCTGTCTCAGTGGATATCTGGTCGGCGGGCTGCATCATGGCGGAGATGATTACAGGGAAGACGCTGTTCAAGGGCAGTGACCGTATCCTACACTTGTGGGGGGGGCAGGCTGGGCCTGGGTGGGGGCTGGGCATGCTGCCCCGGCCAGGTGGGGGTGTGCCCTGCTCCTCTGGCCCTGTGCTGTGCTCCTCACCTCAGCACAGACCTGGACCAGCTGAAGGAGATCATGAAGGTGACAGGGACGCCTCCCGCTGAGTTTGTGCAGAGGCTGCAGAGTGCCGATGTCAGTTGGGAGCTGGACGGGGGCTGGAGGGGCTGGGCCTGGGTCTGTGGGTTGGTCCCTTACCCTTTCTTCCTGAAAAGGCGAAGAACTACATGAAGGGCCTCCCCGAGTTGGAGAAGAAGGATTTCGCATCCATCCTGACTAATGCAAGTCCTCTGGGTAGGACTGGACTGGGGGGGAGTGTTGGGTCAGTGACGAGGGCATCAGGGCCTGGGACCCTCCCTGACCAGCCCTCCCCGCAGCTGTGAACCTCCTGGAGAAAATGCTTGTGCTAGATGCAGAGCGGCGGGTGACTGCGGCCGAGGCGCTGACCCACCCCTACTTCGAGTCACTGCAGGACACGGAGGATGAACCCAAGGCCCAGAAGTACGACGAGTCCTTTGATGATATGGACCGCACGCTGGATGAGTGGAAACGTGAGTTGCGGGGGGGCTCTGGGCAGGGCCTGTGGAGGGACCCTGGGAGCCCAGTGCAGGGCTCAGAGTCCTGGGTCCCCTACCTGGGGATGCAGGTCATGTAAGGAATACAACAGTCAGAGGGCAGTGGGGCTTCTTGGCCAAGGTGACCTCGGGCTGGAGCTGAAGGATGAAAGAATGCCCCTGGCAGGGGGTTCAGAACTAACAAGAGCAGGAGGTGAGTTCTGGAAACTGCGGGAGGCAGCTCCCAGCTCAGGGCAGTTGTGAGCACCTAGCCTCTCCCTACCCTGCCAGCCCAGCCCCAGGGCTGCCCCCATCTTCCCCATGTCCTGGCCGGAGACCTGGGCCGTTCTGGAGCCCCTCTGCACCCACTTGTCCCCCAGAGCTCCACTGTTACCTCTTGAGCTTGTCCTTGTCTCTCTTTGTCCCTGCTTTAAAAAAAAAGATTTACTTATTTGTTTCATGGGGGAGGGCGTGTGTGTGGGCGAGGCAGGGCGGACAGGAAGGGAGATCTCAAGCAGACTCTGCTGAGTGTGCAGCCTGACACAGGGCTCGATCTCACGACCCTGAGATCATGACCTGAACCAAAACCAAGAATGAGACCCTCAACTGACGGAGCCACGCAGGCGCCCCTCTTTGCCCCTTTTAGGACCCCTCCCACCTGACTACTGCACACCCCTCTTGTCCCACCAGCAGGATAAGGCCCACCCCAGACAGCCTCCTCCACACCCCTTGCCCATCCCTTCTAGTCCCGCTGAGCAGTTCAGACCCACCGAAGCCCGTGCTCAGCACCACCGGGCTTGGCACCGGCTGTTGTCTTACACCAAAGGCCCCTACCCTCACCTGTCAGGGCCCAACCGCACATGCTGAGCCTCAGGCTGGGCCCAGGGACACCTGCCAGGTCCTCAGGCCCCATGCTGGGACTGGCTTTGCAGAATGGCAGGCAATGAGGGCTGCGCTTGGTGTCTTTCTGTTGGTGGCTGCAGGACCAGCCTGGAGGGTGCTGAGCATATCTGAGGACAGCAGTTAGGTCCCATCCTGGCTCTGCCTCAGACCTGGGGCCTTGGTGCTGCACATGGGGCTGGGGTGGGACGGGACTGGTGATTCTCAGACCCTGTTCCTTGGCCACTGGGCTGCTCGATGCCTCTGGCAGGGCCCTACCCTTATTTGTGCTTATAAGTTTGGTTTGGTTTGATGAAAGTTTTCTGTTGCTAAAAAAGATGACTTCAAAACCACGGGCCACGGAATCCTTTCTGTGGTTCCCACCCACGCACAGTGGTAAGAGCTTTTGCTTTTACTACAGACCATGGTGAACACGTGACCTGTTTGTGACTGAGCCCCTGGTCAGGAATGCAAACTCTCATCACCTCCTGTTTCCCTGGGAATAGCCAGCTTCACACAGACCTCCCCTGTGTGGACTGACCCCGGTGTTAGGGTTAGATGAATGGCCTAGGAGGCACCTGATGGGGCAGGAACACATGGGTGCCATGGGCAGGGCAAACCACACAGATCGCCTGCTCTAAACACACAGTGTTTCCTGAACTGGGCTTGTGGAGGACCAGTGTCCCCCAAACAGGTGCTACACTGGCCAGGTGAGCATGGGAACGCTGGGGTAGGCTGAGCAGAACCTGTCCCTTTGCATACTGCTCAGAGGGAAAGCAAATCAGGCCTTCTCCCTTCCTTTGGGATGGCTTGCTCTGGGAACACATTTCAGGGGCCATGACCACCAGGCGAGGAAGGTAGAAACTGTGGGTGTTTGTGGAAATTCTTCTCATTTAAGTTTTGGTGGATATTCTGGATCCAGAAACTGGGGTGTGTTCTGGTGGGATTCTGAGTGGCTCCACTTGAGTAGACACATTGATTTATATTAGGACACTGTCCGCTCATTACACCAGGCTATGCCCAGGGGCAGTGGGTTTGGGTGGCAGGAGCCCCATCAGGGTGGATAGCTCCCGTGGATGGACACAGGTGGGCTGAGCGTGGCCCTAGCCTGGGATGAAGTCACGTGTGTGGGACAAAAGCAGCCTGTCTGGCACCTGCACTTCAGCAATGACTTCTGGCTCTGATGTTTTTGGGGACCAGGTGGGCCCCTAGGTCAGTGGCAAACAGCCTGTGTTCTGGGCCTGGGAGCTCTCCCCTCCCCCAACCCCACCTCACAGGACTCAGTGCTGGTCAGGGCAAGTACCAGTGCGCTGGACCCAGTGCTCTTCCTGGGTCACTGGCTTCCACCCTGGGTGTGAATCCTAGGAGGTGATTCTGAAGGGCGATGAGGGCCCTTCTCCCCTGATGGTCCATTTCTCCCACCCCGACCCAGGTGTCACATATAAAGAAGTGCTCAGCTTCAAGCCTCCCCGGCAGCTGGGGACCAAGGTCTCCAAGGAGACGGCCCTGTGAAGACCCCTGGGCCCCCACAGTGGTGGTGAGGACACCTTGGGGATCCTGGCTGGGGCTTCCACCTGGAAGGGGGATCCTAGTTATCACTGTGACTTTGGCTGGGGCTTACATCCCAGGAGACCTCTGGTTCCATGGATCCCCTCTCCCAGGCCTGTTATCCTGCTCTCAAGGCTCAGTGTAACCTGGGGGAGCATCTGCACCTTCTGGACAGGATGTCAACCTGACGGGACTGGTCTCTGACTCCCTGAGCAGTGGTCCCCTCCCCCAGGTGCAACAAGAAGCCTCAGAGCCTGTGCTGGGGGGTGCGGCTTGGGGTCAAGGCCTGCCCTCTGACCCTGCTTGCTCCAGCCCCTGCTGAAGCCCAGTTCATATAGCTGAGAAAGGACAGGGAGGGCGCAGAGCGCCTACTCAGGGATGTCTCTCCCCGGGGGGGGCGTTGGTGTGGACTCTCCTGCACCCCCAGCCCAGAAAGTGCTATGCCCACGTGGCTGGAAAGAAATAAACCCTTTTGTAGAGATCCCACTCTCGCTTTCCTAATTCTCAGGCTGGATCTCCATCTCTAGGCGTCTGAGCTGCAGCCTGGCATAGAGAAGCTGGCCGTGGAGTCTCAGCCCCTGCTCAGCAGCTGGGCCTGGGCACCCCCTTCCTCCCAGGTCCACAGTGAGCCCAGAGCCTAAAGGCCCCGCACTAGGGATGGGCCCCCGCCCTCTTGTGGACTGACCTTCCTCTAATGGCTTAAACTCTGGAGCCAGACCTCAGGCAGGGCCTGATGAGGACGGGGTTAGGGTCCGACCTGGGTGGGGCTCAGTCCCTGCTGTCTGAGCTCCCTGCACTCTCCAAGGCCAGGTTCCTGGTGAGGAGGGAGTCACGCTGGGCGCTTTGAGACACCTTGTGGCACAGCGCACGAATGGGTTCTACTGTCTCCAAACCTCCTGCCCCTTCGTCGGCCACACCCCAGCGTAACGGCGAGCCCGTGCCGCCCTCTGCCAGCCATTGGACGTCTCGGAGAGCTGAAAGCTGGGTCAGGGGCCACTTTGGGGCTCCTGCGTCTGTCCTGGCTCCTCCCACCTGTCCCCATGGCAGGTGTGCCGAAAGCGGGGCCCGGCTGTCCCCCTTCGGCCTGGAGCTCAGCTGCACACGCGAACAGCTGACCCAGCCAAATACAGCCAGACAAGTTGCCAAAGTGGACACCCGCCTTTCTGCTCGGGGGGGTCTCCGATGCCTCTGGGACAGACGCTTGCCGGGACCTCCAGCTCGGAGCGATCCGGGAGGGGCGGTCCACCACAGGCCCCGCCCCGGAGCCACGCGGCCGGGGATGGCCACTCAGAGTACGCCACTTCATAGCCACCGTGATTGGCTCAGGGGAGGGCACGTGACCCAAAATGAGCCAATCGGATTCTGCCCAGAGCCTCGGTAGCACGCCCGTAGCCCGCCCTGGCAGGTGCCCTGATCAGGACTGTGGGGACCCCTGTGGGGTCGCAGGCCGCAGGGGGTAGGGCCCTGTGGGGGCCGCTGGCTGCATTCCTCCCGCCCTAGAGGTCATTCCTGCGCTTCTGGGGCACCGAAGAACGGGATTGGTGGCACTCCCGCCCCAGGGCCCCGCTTCCAAGACCCCAAGTCCCCAGGACCTGCGCTCCCGGCCCCGCCTTCTAACAGGCCCGCCATCACCCACGGCCGGCCTCCCGAGGGCCCGTCCCCCTCAGAACACCGCTTTCGAGACCCCAGGGCCCGCCCCCGATCAGCCCGCAGCTCGGGTACTCCGGCTCACCGCCCCGCCTCCAGAAGGCCCTCCCCCAGGGCCGGGTTGGCAGAGGCCCCGGGTTTCAGGCCTTTGGCTCCCGCATGCCTCCTCTCTCTGGCCGTCTTGCTCTGGGTCTGTGTCCACGCCGCCTCCTTTCCTTCCTTCTTTCTTTTTTTCCTCGTTCAGACCTCCGTGTTCGCCTTCCCCTCCGCTAGGCCTTCTGCCCTGCGTCGCCCCACGCTTCGGCGACCCCTGTCCAGCGTCTCTGCCACCACCCTGACCCTTCGACTCTGCTCTTCGGCCAGGGTCTTTCTGGAGCTTCAGTCGGGCCCTGCCACTTCCTTACAGCTCGACGCGGCCTAGGCGGGTCTTTCCGGCCTGCAGCCTTGCTCCTACGGGCCCTGGCCTCGCCCCCTCACTCGCTGCTGTTCCTCGAGCTCTGGCTAGGACGGGCCCCTGGGGTGCGCCAGACGTGATGGGCTGCGGCCGGGTCTGACGCCTTGGCCTGCGCGGTCAGCGTGGGTCTGGGGGAGATTTGGGGCCGACCGGGACACTCAGTGGTGCCGCCGTGACAGTCCGTGGGGTCCGGGGCACATTGGCCCTGGGTCCCCACACCCGCCCCCCGGCACACCCGCCCCCTCCCGCTCCCCCCGCTCCCCCCTCCCCGCGCACCTGCCCCCTCGTACACCTGTCCACTCCCGCCCCCGTCCCCTCCCGCTCCCTCCCCCTTCCCTCGCGCAACTGCCCCCTTGCACGCCAGTCCACTCCCGCTCCTGCCGCTCCCTCCGGTCAGGCCAACCTTCGGGGCGGGGCTTTGGGCGGCGGGGGCCGGACTGTGCGGGGTTCGAGTCTGAGGAAGCCGGAAACCTGTGCCCGGGAGCCACCCGGTCGACCCCGCGGCCTCCTTCCGTGCGTGGATTCTGCGCGTTCGGGCCTAGGCTCCGTGCGCGCCGTCCCAGCTGTGGCCCAGGGGTTGAGCGGCTCCCCGGGGCTGCAAGGAGGGAGCAGGCACTCACCGGTCCCCCACTCCCACCCCAGGGCGGCTGGGCCATGAGGACCGCACTCGTGTACCATGAGGAAATGACAGCCGCCCGGCTGCTCTGGGAAGAGTAAGTGTGAGCTGATAGAGGGGGGAGGGTGGAGAGGGGGCTCTGGACGCTAAGCTCTGTGTCCACGCAGCTCTGAGTGTGAGATCGAGCGTCCCGAGCGCCTGACCGCAGCCCTCGAGCGCCTGCAGCAGGGGGGCCTGGAGCAGAGGTGTCTACAGTTGGCAGCTCGAGAGGCTTCAGAGGCAGAGCTGGGCCTGGTACACAGGTCAGACCCCGGGGAGCCACCTGCCCCAGAGGAGGCTGCCTGGCACGTGGGGCCGCCCAGCCTGCCCGCATCTTGAAAACAGAGCATCTCCCCTACCTGCCTCAGTTTCACCACTGCGTGGGTTGGGGAGGGAACCGTGAGGTGGGCGGTCCCACCAGCGCACGGCCCCTCCTTCTCCCCTTCCGGCTCCTGCTGGTGACCCTGCCTTGCCTGCCTGCCCCTCTGCAGCCCAGAGTACGTGTCCCTGTTGCGAGGAACCCAGGCCTTGGGTAGAGAGGAACTACAGGCTCTGTCTGGGCAGTACGATGCTGTCTACTTTCATCCGGTGAGGCCCTGGAGACACCCCACCCACACATGCACATCTGCATGCCCGTGCCCATTTCATGGCTGCGGCTGCTGACCCTGGCCCATGTGCCCTCGGTCACCAGCGTGCACATGCCATGCATGCCCGACCAGCTGCTGCTGCTGGGACCTGCAGCCAGGCACAGGCCTGGGCAGAGCCTGTGCGCGGGGGCAGGGGGGCTCATCTGCACCCCTGCCCCCGCAGAGTACCTTCCACTGTGCCCGGCTGGCCGCGGGGGCTGCGCTGCAGCTGGTGGATGCTGTGCTCACAGGAGCCGCGCACAATGGGCTTGCCCTGGTGAGGTGAGGGCTGTCCCCTTCTGGGCTGCCCCCAGCTGTGGGGGCCTGTGAGGGCACAGGGTGACCCTGACGTGTCAGTTTTCACCCACAGACCTCCTGGGCACCACAGCCAGAGGGCTGCTGCCAACGGGTTCTGCGTGTTCAACAACGTGGCCATAGCAGCCAAACACGCCCAGCAGAAACATGGTCTGCAAAGGTGTGTCCTGGGCTGTCTGGGGGCAGGGCCCAGGCCAGACGGCAAGTGGTGGAGTGGGCTGCTGACAGACCCCATTCAATCCTTTCCCCTCTTGGGGTGGGCTCAGGCCCCCAGGTTGGAGGCCCTGCCCCTCCGTGACCTCTGCACTGCCTGTCTGCAGGATCCTCATTGTCGACTGGGATGTCCACCATGGTCAGGGCATCCAGTATATCTTTGAGGATGATCCCAGGTGAGCTGGGGTCACCGCCTTCCCTGCGACGCCCTGCTGGGAGCCATGGGGCTTAGGTCCTGACCTTTGAGCTCCAATTTCTGACCTTGGCTGGTTGTCCTCAGTGTTCTTTACTTCTCCTGGCACCGCTATGAGCATGGTTGCTTTTGGCCTTATCTTCGAGAGTCAGATGCAGATGCTGTTGGGCTGGGGCAGGGCCGTGGCTTCACTGTCAACCTGCCCTGGAACCAGGTGCCCACCCCTCCCCCACCCCGAACCCCCCCCCCAAGGCCTCACCCCTTGCCCCACAGCCCCAGGCCTCCTGAACGTAGTCCAGGGCATCTTTCCAGGGTCACCCCCAGAGCCTGGGCCCCAGGGGTGAAGACCCCGCCCCCCCCAACACAGGGCCCAACTCTGATGCCCGGTGGCCACAGGTTGGGATGGGAAATGCTGACTATATGGCCGCCTTCCTGCATGTGCTGCTCCCTGTGGCCTTTGAGGTAACTGCATGGGGGGCAGGCGTGGTGTTGGGGGGAGGAGTGTGGGAGGGGGAGTCTGTGCTCAGAGGCGTCATCCCCCGTCCCCCTCACGCCCCCTCCCCCGACTCCCCGGAGCAGAACAGAGCCCTGTGGGTGGGGAGCACTCTCTGGAGGGGCCTCCTTCACCTCTGCTCCAGGCTCTCTCTTGCGCATCCCCCCCCCCCCGCCCCCGGCCCTGTCCACAGTTTGACCCTGAGCTGGTGCTCATCTCGGCAGGATTTGACTCAGCGATTGGGGATCCTGAGGTGAGGGCCTGTCCTGGCTGGGGAGGGCTTCTGGGGCCCTGGGGCCAGGCCCCCTCACACTTGGCTCTGGTTCCAGGGGCAGATGCAGGCCACACCTGAGTGCTTCGCCCACCTCACGCAGCTGCTGCAGGTGCTGGCTGGCGGCCGGGTCTGTGCTGTGCTGGAGGTGACTGTGGCAGCAGGGAGGGCTCGCAGGCCAGGTGTCGAGGTGCATTCAGGGGGGGCCTGCTCTACAGGGTGGGGCGTCCTGCCTGGGATGGTGGCGCCCCGCCCCACTGACAGCCCTGTCTAGTCTCATGTGTGCCTTCGCCCTGCTCCCAGGGAGGCTACCATCTGGAGTCGCTGTCCCAGTCAGTGTGCATGGTGGTGAAGGCGCTGCTGGGTGACCCTGCCCCGCCCCTGTCGGGGTCCATGGTGCCTCAGCACAGGTATGGGGCAGGAGGCTGGGAAGGGCTGGGGGTTTCAGGCCAGGCCTTACTGCTCCTGTTTCTCTCCACAGTGCTCTGGAGTCCATCCAGAGTGTCCGGGCAGCGCAGGCCCCTCACTGGACTAGCCTTCAGCAGCAAGGTCAGTGTGGCCCATGCTGGGCGGCAGGGTCGCTCCCCGAGCTCCCGCGCAGTGGCTTTGACTCTGAACCACTCCCTAGGGCCGGCCCCCTTACTGAACCCCAGGACCTGCTCCCCAGAGGGGAGACGCCCACCTGTGTCGCCTGGGGGGCCCGAATTCAAGGCCGCAGAGGCCCAGACCTCGGCTGTACTGAGGTCCCTCCTGGACCAGCTGCACCTCTACCCCACACCCCCCGTCCGCACGGCTGCCGCCCTGACAGCGCAGGAGGCTGCTCTGGTCCTGCCCCCTGACGTCCTCCGTCAAGAGGCGTCAGCCCCACAGGAGGAGACACAGGCCTGGGCTAGGTGGGCAGAGCGGGCCTGGGGAGAGGGATGGGGTTATGGGTGCACATGTGCTGTGGTATCGGTGTCACTTCCTTTCCACGTGTCCCTCTGGTTTCCCACCACAGGCTACACAAGGCCCTGGCCGAGGACACGGCTTTCATTGCACTTGGAAAGGTCCTGCATCTATTGAACGGGATCCTGGACGGACAGGTGGGGGCACCTGGGATGGGCTGAGGGTTGCCATGGAGCTGGGGGCAGAGCCCAGGACCTGCCCACAACAGACGGCCTGTCCAAGGGAGGGCTGGGTGGTGCAGAACCACGTGGACCCTTTTAGAACAGCTCTTAGGGACAGGGTCACAAGGTCAGGCTCAGTCAGTCTTCTTAACTAAATACTCTCTGACAGTGAGGTGAAGGGGATGATTTAAAGTGTAGTTTTAAGCATCTTATTTCCAGAAGGGGAGCCGTTTGAGCTCAGGTTGTGCAGATGGCAGCTCCATAGACTGGGACCAAGAGGAGGGATAGATGTGACTCTGTGCCTGGTTGGGGGTCGCCCCCCACAGGTGAGCGGCGGCATCGCAGCAGCCCCAGCGGCGGCAGCCACCCTGGAGGTGGCCATTCGGCGCGGCCTGTCCCACAGAGCCCAGAGGTGAGCACCCCTGCCCTGGAGGGCCACACCGCTCCTGTTTCCTGTCCCATGGGGAGGGCTCTAAGCATGGATTCCTGGCTGGGTGAGTGCAGCCTGTCCTGGGGCCACCTTTTCCTCTAGGGTGCTCTGTGTGGCTGTGGGACAGCTGGATCGGCCCCCAGACCTTGCCAGTGATGGGTAGGACACTCGGGTCCTGTGTGCATCCCGTCCTGTGTGTGGGTGGGCACGTACTCCTGGGTCCCCACGGGGGAGGGTGGGCAGGGTCTTCCCCAGCTGGAGTTTGGCAGAGGAGCTCCTGGGAGGGTCTCCTGCACCTTCCCTTCTGCTGTCTGGGCTCTGGAGGGTGAGCCGCATCCCATACCCCTGCATGTGTGCCCACGTGCTCACTCTCCCCTGGAAGGAGGAATCTGTGGCTGAACATCAGAGGCAAAGAAGCGGCTGCCCTGTCCACGTTCCATGTGTCTCTGCCACTGCCAGCGGTGAGTGGTGGGGTCCCGGGTAGGGCGGCTGCTGCTCGTTGGCACCCTCGGGGCCGTTCCTGGCCTTCACCTGCCCTTCCTGGCTTCCTGATGGGACTGTGGGAGGTGGGGTGACCCCTGGCTGAGGGGCTGGAGCTGTGCTGCTGTCCTTCCCACAGACAACAGGTGGATTCTTGAGCTGCATCCTGGCCCTTGTGCTGCCCCTGGCCTATGGCTTCCAGCCTGACCTGGTGCTGGTGGCACTGGGACCAGCCCATGGCCTCCAGGACCCCCAAGCTGCACTCCTGGCTGCACTTCTACGGGGACCAGCGGGGGGCCGAATCTTGGTCCTAGTGGAGCAGGTGAGTTGGGCAGGGTGGACGTGCTGCGGGTGGGAGGTGGGGGGTGGGGAGAGACCAGTGACTTGCTGCTTCCACCTCTACTCCTGGCCCAGGAATCCACACCCCAGCTTGCGGGGGTCCTGGCCCGGGTGTTGCATGGAGAGGCACCCCCCAGCCTGGGTCCCTTCTCCGTGGCTTCCCCCGAGGACCTGCAGGCCCTGACACGCTTGAGAGGGCAGCTGGAAGTACAGTGGAAGATGCTGCAGGTGGCCGGTGAGGCTGGGGGGCAGGGCTGAGGGTGAGCGCTGGGGAGTCTAGGGGGATAGTCCTGCCGTAGAGCTCTGTGGGGAGAGGGGCTCATGTCTTAGGGAGTGAGGTGCTGTCCTGAACCTGCTCATCGCAATGACAAGCTGACTGTACATTTCTTCCTAGCTCCTTCTTGAGTTCTGTGACCTGGTGGCTTGAAATTGGCCAGGGTGGAAGTCTTTTCACCCCAGAAATGACAATACAAGTTAGTCCCCCAAGAGCCACTAATTAAACATTCGCCAGTACCCCACTGCCTGAGGCCTTTGTGCAGAGGGCCGGGCTATGGAGTTGTCCAGGGCACTGGCTCAGGGACACTCTGTCCACGGCAGTGACCTGGAGCCCCCCTCCAGTGGCCCACCTCTTCACGGATGGCCCCATCCTCATTTCCCACACTTCTATTAACCTTAAAAATAAAAGTTATTTTACCAGCAAAAATGGGTTTATTCAGGAGTAGCAGAGAATTGCAATTTGGGACAAGTAAACTATGGCAAAACCCTAGGCAAGTCCAACAAGCAAAGAGGAATGTTATTTTATGGAGAAGAAGGAAGAAGCTGGGAAGGATTGTTCTGAATGAACATCTATTGGAGAAAAGCAAGAGTTCAGGATGATGATGATTTTCTGATGATTCTTTGCTGTTGATTCTTCTGTTGGGCCTCTAATCGACAATTATTCCTGTGATGGGCATGGAGTGGTATAGCTTCTCCTTCCGGCCTCCCCTTCTAGCATCCCAAGCCCACTTCCGAGAGTTTCCCTTTATTAATTTCCAAATTTCCCTCCTTTTGATCGAGATCTTTCTTTGAAAGCGTCACTGATCAAGAGTCAGGTTTTCCGTATTTAGTAGTTTTGTCTGTTGATGCCAGGAAGGACTTTTCTGGTTGTCCTGTCCTACAGCAGAGGGAAAGTGTGTACCAGTTGGAAACCACTTGAGGCCACATTTGAGTCAGACGGGAGGTCAGGAGGGAGAACTGCCAGGCACTTCCCATCTAAAGTCTACATCTTCTCAAGGTTACAAGTATTGGAGATCATTTCCATAGTGGGCACATCATTTTTACAAAAGTTTGACAGTTAACAAAATACAAAACTCAAAATAGCTATACAAAACAGAAGTAATATAACAATCCCAAATTGTATGGTGGTTCTGAACCAGACTGTAGGTCTGCAGTCACCAACTGAAGATATTTATTGGCACTCATTCCAATTTAGGGGAGAAAGTTCTCCCTAGGGAGGCAAACCCAGAATCCTGTGTGCCTCCTGGAAGTTCCTGTGAGGAGGGGGGGTACTGCAAGAGCACATGAAAACAATTAGCCAAGTGTGTTTAAGGAAAAATGAAGCAACAGCTGAACAAAAACAGCAAAACCTCAAAGATGTATTAAAACAGTACTATTATCTCAAAAGAACTGAAAACAAATGTTATCCAGTAACAGCCTGTGTGGTGGCAAATTCACAGACTGAATTTGGGTAAGAATCCAGTGTAAGATACTAGGTCCGATGAAAGAGGGACTTTTGTGAATCTTGAAGAAACCTTCTAACCCTTCAAAAAAAAGTGAGTGGAAAATTCATTTGTCCCAGGATCATGGTGAGGCTGTTTCTGCAAGGCCATAATCAAAAGAGGTTTCCCCCTTCCACAGGGCTTGGGAGATCCACAGAAGGGCATTGTCTTCACCCAAAAGGAAGGGAAAGGAGGAAAAGACACACGGGCCTGGTCTACACATCTCAGGACAGCTCCCTCCCCAAATGTCTGTTTCAGTCCAGGAGGTCTTTACTTCCAGGTCACCAGCTGGTGTTTGGGTCCGGTCAGGCTTTGGTGCTTTCTCTACACATGTCCCATGGATCCAAGAGTCTCTTACCTGGAGTTTGGTGGCACAAGGGCTGGTTAGCAGATCCTGAGAGGGGCCTTTCTGGCAAGGTTGTGGAGGTGTCTTTTCCAATAAATGAAATGTCCAGGTTGCAAGGTGTGATGCTTAAGGCCACCCTCTCCATCTCCCAGGAACTCACTGTGTAGATTGTTCTACCAAAGCGTGGCTACCTTGTTTTTTTAAAGATTTATTTATTCATTTGAGAGAGTGGGGGGGGAGGGGCAGAGGGAGAGAATCTCCAAGCCGACTCCCCGCTGAGCGCTGAGCATCCCCCGCCTCCCCTGTGGTGCTCACCACTGAGGAAATCACGACCTGAGCCAAAACCAAGAGTCGGATGCTCAACCCACTGAGCCACCCAGGCGCTCCAAAGCATGGTTACTTTTAATAGAAGCAGTTAGACCTGAACAGTATTGAAGTATATCTCCTTTTATTAACACGTGTCAGAGGAGGCAGGGGCCAAGTGCATTGGACGTCCTGGAAATCTCGAAGGGTGGGAGTCTGGGAGATCCCAGATCTGAGGGTTAGAAGGACCAACAGCAATGCTCTTGGCCCAGGTATTTTGGAGGGGCTGCAGATTTTGCTAGTTGAGGCTTACCAGTGCTGGTGGTGCATGGGACTGATGCGGGGAATGTGGATGGGGGGATGCAATGAAGGTGAGGCCTGCCAAGCAGCGCAGGCCTGCTGAAGCACCTGGCCAGGAAGATGAGTTCTCCGACCACGACGAAGTTCAAGAGGGGTTCCCTGGGTAGGGACAATCTTTCCTAACAGAATTTTAGCCACAGAAGCAGCACTGGCCCGTCTAGGAGAGAAAGCTTCGATCCAGTGAGAAAACATGAACCACGAGACATGGAAGCTGTAGGAGATCCATTGTGTGGACAGGTGGGACGAGCGAAGCAGGCTCTTTGTGGCCTTATTACTTCCCACCCGTACTGGTTCGTGAACACTATCGTTTTGTCAGTAGGCCAGTGGTTTAATGTACATACTGTGGTGAGTAGTGGGGATTCTAGGATTTCTGGTAGGGCCAGATTGTTACTTGGTCCAACCAGAGTTCTCTTTTTATCAAACCAGCTATTACTAGATTTTCCTTTTTGGGGGGCCAGTTGTTTGGGCACCTCTGGTCGGTATTCTGAAATTATCATTTGGGAGAATGTCGCTTGGGACCATGACAGAGGCTTGGCTATTGTTTTTCTTTTCTTTCAATTTTAAGTCCTCTCTATACCCAGTGTGGGGCTCAAACTCACAACCCTGAGACCAAGAGACCCACGCTCCACTGACCGAGCAGCATTTTGGCAGAAATGTCAGCGGGATTATTATTTTGGCCTCTAGGGAGTTGAGCCCAGAATGCCCGGGAGCTTTAATGAGCAGCTAACGTATGGCATCTAATACATTTTGGACATAGGAGCTATTTTTAATTTTATGCTTATTTCAGGTAAGGAAACTTTGTTGTTTCTGTAATATTCCAAAGTCATGAGCTACCCCAAAGGCATCCTGACTATTGGTATAAATGTCTGTGGTTTTGCCCTTGGCCAAAATATAAGGATGGTTAGAGAACTCCGTGACCATTTCTGCAGGGGTCTAGCCAAGGGCAGTGGCAGGAATGCCTCTGAGCCAAGGAGGACATCCCTGAGCTACAGGGTTGAGTTGTTGGCTACGATGCCTTACGTGGCAGTGATGCTCCTCATGTTGAGCACTTCAAGGCATCCCCTTCCCTCTCATGTACAAACAGGAAAAGAGGAAATCCACCATTAGGATGTCTGGGGCAGGGGGTTTTATCAGGCTTTTCTTCAAAGTCCCCAAAACTATGTCTTCCTGATCTTTCCAAATAATAGGGTCAGGTTTGCATTTTCAGCAAAGCACACAGAGGCTGAGCTGTAAGAGAGAAGTTTGGGGTCCAATTGTGACAGTAGCCAGCCAGTCCCAAAAAGCCTGTAACTGGCTCTTAGTTGTACGTTTGGAGGAGTTCAGGAGGCCTTGAGGTCTACCTGGATCCAAATGTAATCGTTCTGAAATTAGGCGCCCTAAATACTGAGTTTGAGTAAACTGCAGTTTTTCTTTTTTTTTTAAACAAGCCACAGTTTTTTTGTTTGTTTGGTTTTTTTTTAGATTTTATTTATTTGTCAGAGAGAGTGAGAGAGACCGAGAGCAAGCACAAGCAGGGGGAGCGGCAGGCAGAGGGAGAAGCAGGCTTCCCACTGAGCAGGGAGCCCGATGTGGGGCTCGATCCCAGGACCCTGAGATCATGACCCGAGCTGAAGGCGGACGCTTAATGACTGAGCCACCCAGGCGTCCCAAACTGCAGTTTTTCTTTGGAGATTTTCTGTCCTATTAAAGCTAAAAGTCTTAACAGGTGGATGCTGCCTCCTGTGAAGAGGCTGGAGAAGGGGAGAAGAGCAAATCATCTACATATTGTAACAAAGTGTAGCCTGCAGAAAACCTTGTATCATCTGATTCAGCTTCTGAGGTTTGTGAACAGTGAGAAGGGCTCTGTTACCCTGGGGCATATCTGTCCAGGTGAAGGCAAAATGATAGCCTAGCTTACCTGCTGGAATACTAGAAAATGCACCCTGTAGGTCAGTTACAGTGAGAAGTTCGCTGTCGGTGGCAATGGATATCAGCAGCACATGGGGTCAGGAAAGCAGGGTGCTTCTCAGAGGAACTGGACAAAGCTCCATCCTCTGCCATTGGTCATCTCACAGGTAAAATGGGTGTTACAGGGACTAGTGCAGGGGATAATGAGACCCTGAGCTTTGTAAGCTTGATGCCCTGAAGGGCTTCTTTGTTTCTAGAGTATTTAATTTTGTGGGTAGGTTTTTTTGTTTGTTGTTTTTCCTCTGGGGAGAGGTCTTGAGGGATCTCTTTGAATCTTGATGGGAGGTGCACTGTGCATTGTGCCAAAATCAGCCGAGGATTTTGCCCGTAAAGAGCATGGTACCTGACCCAGTGGGAACAAATGACCAGTGTCCCCAGACTCTGCCATAGTGCCATCATAGACAAGTATAGGAAACATGCCAAAGGGTCGTTTATTTCCCCTGGTTGGCTACTTTTGGTTCATTCAGTCCATTTAGTGAGAACTGCACATGAGGAGGCACGGCAGTTTTAAAAACAGAACCGGCTCAGGTCCCAGAAAGGGGGGTCCCCCAAAGCACTGTGACTTCTGGGGGCCCGTTTCTCAGAGGTTTTTCTCTAGGGCAGACAAATTCCTCAGCAGCGCAGCTCTGACCGAGCAGTCCAGTTCTGAAAAGGCGACCTCTCAGCTAGGACAAGGCCCGGAGCGCCCCACACAGAGCGCGGAGCTTGAAATCCGGGGAAAACTTACCCTCCAGCCCCGGTCCGAGACGGCAGCGGGCTCCGCGGGCGCCCGCACCTGTCTGCGCACCAGCTCGCAGCTCGTGGGGGTTCCGCTCCAGGTCCCACTGCAGGCCAGCAAGTACTGTGACCCCGAAGAATCATTTTACCAGCGCACATGGGTTTATTCGGGAATAGCAGACTTGCAGCCCGGGCCTAGCATGCTGCGGCAAAACCAGAGAAGGAAGTTGGGAGGTTTGGTCGGTGGGCGAGAAGCAGGAGTCCAGGGTGCTGGGGTTTCTCCCCGCCGGGGCCGCAGGGCGGTGGACTTCCCGGAGGAGCCGCGGCGCACAGGGCTCGGGGCCCCTGCGACCCGCGGGGCGCGCTCGGGCTCGGTTGTGACAGACGCGGCGATGACCGGGCTCCAGCGGGGGGGTCCCGCTCCAGCCCCCACTCCTGGCGTGCGCAGTCCACCCTAGCGAGTGTGACGCCACCTCCTTTGACTAACCGGCCGCGGGCCTCGGACTCCCCACCCGGCTGCGGCACTCCAGGCCGGAAGTACCCTCCCTGCCGCAACCTCCAGGTCCGCCCCGCCCCGCCCCTCCCGATGACGCAATTCCGGCGCGCGGGCTTTAGCTGTCTTGCGAGGTCGCTAGGCAGTGACGCCGCGGGCGGGGATGGTGGTGGCGGGAGCGGGTGGTCCCGTCGTGGGGTGAGGCCTCGCCCGGCGACCCTGCCCGCCGCCACCCCACACTCCCTCCTCCGGCGGCGCGTAGTCCCGTCCGCCCCTCTCCGGACGTCGACAGAGCGTCCAAAGCGGGCCACGTCCACTGTGTACGGCCCTCGCGCAGTCTCCTCGGGGTTGTCCCGCTTCCGTGACCCCCTAAAGGGTGAAGACTGGTGGGTGGGACAAGTGGCGAGCTGGCGCTCTGCAGACTACTGCGGGCGGCGGGGTGGCGGTGGGCACGGGGAGGGCAAGAACCTGAAAGTGCAAGTGCTGAGCCTCCGGGTGTCGGTTTCGGGGTCGCCTGGCGTTCAGCCCCGTCTGACCCGCTCCCACGCCCTGCGTTTCAGAGGCCGGAGTGCAGCCCGGCTGGGGTGCTTTCTCACCTTCTGGGGGCCTGGAGCTGAGAAGGGGTGGGCATGGCCAGCGTCCCCCAGCTGTTCGACGACCTGTGCGAGGCCCTCCTGCCGGCCGCGAAGGCTCCCCTGGGCCAGCACGGCGGGAGCCGGAAGAGGGCAAAGCAGAGACTTAAGAGGGTGGCCTACAATGCCCTCTTCACGAATCTCTTTCAAGACGAGACTCATAAACTGCAGCCTGATCTCTCCAAACTCCCAGTGAAGAACAAGATCCTCATGCTGTCCTTCGACTTGAGAGTGGGTGGTCTGGGCCCGGAGGCTGACCGTCTGGAGGAACTCGTGGAGCAGCTCCTAGCAGCCCCTTGCTGTCCGGTCGTGGAGGTGGGGTCTGTTTTGGACCTCCTGGTTCAGCTGGCAGGGAGTGGCCCCCCTCAAGTGCTGCAGCGCAAGCGGGACTACTTCTTTAACAACAAGCATGTGGGGAGAAACGTGCCCTACGGCGGCTACGACTGCCAGGACCTGAGTGTTTTTGAGATGGACGTTCAGTCTTTGATCTCCAGAGAGGAGTACTTATGTCAGGACATGATCCAGAAGGTGCTTCAGGTGATGGAGGCGGCCCCAGGCACTGGCCTGCCCACCACGGGGCTCTTCTCATATGGGGACCCTTGCGGTGACAGGTTTGAGAGAGACACCCGGGTCTCGCTTTTTGGCGCCCTTGTGCACAGCCGCACATACGACATGGATGTCCGGCTAGACCTGCCCCCGATGCCGGACAGTGCAGACTTCTCTGGATTGGCCATTAAGGTAGAGTGTTTGCTTTCCTGCGCCCAGCTCCCCGGCAGCTGGAAATGCCTCCTTTGACCTTCCCTTGGTCATGGTAAAGGTAGGCTAGCGCTCGAGTCCCTGTCACTTGGTGGCTGAGCTGTGGCGAGGCGAGGCGAGGCTGCTGGAGTGGGCTTCACCTGGGTGGGCAAGGACCCCACCGCCCACCTGCAGACCAAAGCAGCACGCTTTTTATCTTCTAAAGGGGCGCGTTGTCATGTCACTTACTCTGCTCTCTAAGGTTGCTGTTTATGTTCAATTACAAGGAAGTAACAAGTTCAGCTACATCTCAAGTACATAGCAGAGCCCCTTGCAACAGAATGTTCGTACTATGTGCGCAGTTCTGTGCGCTTTCTTCCACGTATAACGTGGGATATTTTCTACCTTAGTAAATCATTGTTGGCCTTTGTGTTTTGCGACTTTATAAATGTTGCTGAAACATTTCAGCACTATCATTACTCAGTTATTCCCTTACTACGAAAAATTCTCACTATAGTGAACATCTTGGCGTATGTAGATTTCTGTTTACTATGATTTTTTAAATTTTTTAATTTTTAAAGGATTTATTATTTGAGAGAGAAAACGCACACGAGCTGGGGGCGGGGAGTGGCAGGCAGAGGGAGAAACAGGCTCTGTGCTGAGCAGGGAGCCTGACATAGGGCTTGATCCCAGAACCCTGGAATCATGACCTGAGCCGAAGGCAGACGCCTAACCAACTGAGCCACCCCGGTGTTCCTACTATGATTTTTTTATGCTGGGTTCCCCAAAATGGAATTTTCACATCAGAAGCATTTCATGAAAAATGCCATTGTAAGTTATATTGACGCTAATATGTCATATATAACTGGAAATTGATCATCTTAATCCAGTAAGTGATTCGGTGGGAGTGAAAACATTGTGTGGTAGCTACATGCTTCAGAAAAGTAGAGGAAACATTCTGCTGGGTGTTTCTTGTAATGAGTAACGGGAAGTGTGTGGGGAAGTCCTGGAATTCTGACCACACTTGGGTGAAATTTAGACCCAAAGGCATACATGATGTTTCCTTCTTTCCTGTGGTCTCCAGGTTCCTCAGAGTGTGGATCAGTCCGACGATGAAGGGTTCCAGTCAGCATCTAATTTGACTCCTGACTCCCAGTCTGAACCAGGCATGACTCCAGACATCGACCTGTGGGATGCCGTGCTCACCTACGAGGCCAGCAAGCGGAGGTGCTGGGAGCAAGTTGGATGGTATATGAGCCTTTGCTGCTAAATGCATTCCCCCCCCTCCCCCCCGGCATGTGAGCGTGGCCTTTACTCGGGAGAGCTCAGGCAGTTGTTTGTAGAGCAGCTATGGTGGGATTCGGAGCCTGGAAGTTTCATCAGGCTAGTGTGTGGCATGGCCTTGGTCCTGGGAGGTGAGAGGGATGCCGAGGGGAAGGACTTACAGGCTTCAAGGAGGTTTCTCCGGTGCCAGTGACTTTTGCAAATCAGTGAGGGCTCCCAGTCACACGTGTCGAGGGCAGCCCGGCAGGCTGTGCAATCAGGGCCAGGGCACAGGGTGCTGGTGAGGGAACAATCTTCGCGTCCACTGGTCTTCACATCCAGGACTGACAGTGGTGCTCTCAGGCTGACAAGTTCAGTCATGGCAGTGCTGCCCTGACCGGTGCCAGCATCCTGTCCCCTGGGCTCATCCGTGTCCAGAGGCCTCTGCACTCAGGACCTCTCAGAGTCTGTAAAGCACTGGTGTCATCCCTCAAAAGCTCCCAGAATGGGGATAGAGGACACACATTTCCCCCTATTTGCTCCTGGGACCCTCTTGTCCTATCTCATCTGCTGGCAATTCTGTGGAACACCATTTTGGGGAGCATAGGATGCAAGAGTCAATGTTAGCAAGAGCGCAGTGCCTTCTGGTGCAGCTTCTGGGCCCAGCAGGGTCTCTGGAGGGTGGACATGTGCCGGGGCGTAGGCAGTTAAGTGCCGGTTGTGTTTGGGCACCGCTCCTGCTGGTGAGGTCATCTGTCTCCTGCAGTGGATTCCTCCAGGGATGGCCAGCTCCCTGCTTCCCTCAGCACCGCCGGTAGGGGTGCTTGCCTTGTCTTGCAACTTCCTGTCTGTGTGCACAAAGCAAGTCGAGCCATCCCGCTTGCTGCTGACCCCTCACATGTCTCAAAAGTGGGCCAACAAGTTAGCACTTTCTTCTGTAAATATTTGCTTGGTGGTATTTCATTAGTTTCTACTTTTTAGGACACCATTTAGGAGATACGATTGCTTACCAGGTCTCTGCCCTTGCCCCCTGTTCTGCCGAGTGCACTTGATCTCCTCGGCGTCCCCCGAAGGCTGCTGACCTTAGAGCTCCAGCCAGCAAGGATTACCGCGGCGGTCTTCCCCTCGCTCCCAGGACGTGAGCCCATGCCCAGCAGTGCACACATGGTGGCTGCTTCAGCGAGACCCTCAGGGCCATGCCTCAGTCGGGCGTGGGCCCCAAACTCACCTCCCCCAAGCATCCTCCTCTGCCTGTTCTGGTGCGAACCTAATCCCACTGGCCCCTGACCCCTGAGGCCCTTTGCACTAGTTCATTTGGCAAATTTTTTGAACTTGTTTCAGTTTAAATCCCAGCCACCTGCTAGTTTCCTACCATGAGCTCTGGCTAGTGGGCAGTTAAGGAAGCTGCTGCCTCCAGAAGCAGAGCTGCCTGTCTACCCGCAGCCCTAGGACTGTAAACTCTGTCCTCTGAGACCCCTGGAGGACCCCTCCCCTGTGCTTCAGCCCGAGTACCCGTGTAGGTCTGAAGGCATCCTCTGCCGTTTCTCTGTGGCTGCACCCATTCTGGGGGGAGTGGTTTCATTATGTTGACTGCTGAGTTTTCCGTGGGGACAAGAGGAATTTGGTGTTTTCCTTCATGGATTTTTCTGCCTTAGCTCTGAATCCCCAAAGGGGGCACACATGGCCACAGTGGTGCTGGCGTCAACCCTGGAAGAGTGGGGGCAAGAGCAGCCGGGGGGTGAGAAATGGGATGGCACCTGCAGCGTGCACCTGTCCTGAGCGACTTCCTAGAGGAAGCTCAGAGGTCTTTGAAACTTGAGAAGTCTTTCCTCATGCTCTTCTCTCCCCAGGGGAGTGAGGGCAGATGTCCGTGGTCTGGCCACAGCCCACCTGCCAACCTGGACGCCTCAGGTCTGGCCTTCCTGCTTCCTCCTACCCTTCCCTCACTGTCCACACAGCTGGTGCCACCTTCCAGGGATAGAAACCAGAGCACATCATTGCTCTGTCTGCCACACTTGATGGCTGTCCCTGGTCTGGCTCGAGGGCCAGTCCTTCCGTGAAGTCCTCCCCGCACTCCCCAGCTCCATTCACACTGACCCCTTTTCTCTTCTTGTTGCTCCCAGGACCTCTTGGAGCCCTCCCCAGCCCTGGGGTCCAAGTCGTTTCTCCTGTCTGTAGTGCCTTCCCCCGGGAGGCTGGGCTTGTCTCCCTTGCTGCTCCCCCTGCACTCAGATACTTACTGAAAGAGGGGAAGAATGATTGACATGCATTGTCAATTAAAAAGGATTTTTGTTTTTTTTAAAGATTTTATTTATTTGCAAGAGAGGGGCGCCTGGGGGCTCAGTAGGTTAAGGGACTGCCTTCGGCTCAGGTCACGATCCCAGGGGCTTCTCCCTCTTCCTCCCCCTGCTTGTGCTCTCTCTCGCAAATAAATAAATTTTTTTTAAGATTTTATTTATTTGAGAGAGAGAGAGCAGAAGCAGGGGGAGCGGGGGAGGGGTGAGAAGCAGGCTACCTGCTGAGCAGGGAGCCTGATGCAGGACTCCATCCCAGGACCCTGGGATTGTGACTTGAGCTGAAGGCAGCCGCTTCACCAACGGAGCCACCCAGGCGACCCAGCAGGATTTTTGATTTAATAGGTTCTGAGATGTATTGTTCTTGTACCTTGTACATCATTCCTGATGGGATGAAAATGTGCTGGTGGTCAGACATGCATCTTGATGTTAAAATGTCCTATAGCTTGGAGCTGTTACCCCCTCAGGAAATGACTTCTGTCTTTGAAGAATAAATGATACTCTTTTTGACATGCTAGACCTAAAATAAATTATTTTTTTGCAGAGGAGGAGAAAGGAGCTGGTTAGGTATTAAAAATGAGAAGAGGGCGCCTGGGTGGCTCAGTTGGTTGGGCGACTGCCTTCGGCTCAGGTCATGATCCTGGAGTCCTGGGATCGAGTCCCACATCAGGCTCCCTGCTCAGTGGGGAGTCTGCTTCTCCCTCTGACCCTCCCCCTCTCATGCTCTCTCTCTCTCTCTCTCAAATAAATAAATAAATAAAATCTTTAAAAAAAAATGAGAAGAAAAGTTTTAAAAGAGCTTGTATTCCCTAAGCTCACTTTATTAAGAAATTACTTTTTCATGGGGCACCTGGGTGGCTCAGTCGTTAAGCGTCTGCCTTCGGCTCAGGTCGTGATCCCAGGGTGCTGGGATCGAGCCCCATGTCGGGCTCCCTGCTCCGCGGGGAGCCTGCTTCTCCCTCTCCCACTCCCCCTGCTTGTGTTCCCTCTCTCACTGTGTCTCTCTCTGTCAAATAAATAAAATCTTAAAAAAAAAAAAAATTATTTTTTCAGTGGATTTTAAAAAACACCTCTTTCATGTTTTTCAGTAGGGGTTGATGGTTTTCAAAGGAATATTTAAAAAGTGATACTGGTTTTTTTGGGGGCTGCTCTTTACTGATGTGGCTGTGAATTCCTGGCATAGGGCCGTGTGGAGGCAGAGCCCCTGGAGGCTGCTGTGTGTCCAGAGGCACCTTCTGCAAGACCAGCAAGCCTGTTATGTCCGAAAATTTGTGAGACTTTTTGCTCCATGAAACTGAATAAAGGATACCTCATTAAGATATTTGGGAGGCTGGCAGGAGGGCTCCCCGGAGGGAGCATGCTGCTGGGGCTAAATGGGGGGGCCACCTGCCAGGTGTGTCTTGTCCTACTGGGGCTGCCGTGACCCGGAGCTCCCCCTGCCGGCTGCCGGTGCCATTCTCGTCAGCTCTCTCTTAGGCCAGATCCCAGGAGTGGCAGAATGTACATAGCGTAAAATGCTGTCATGCTCATCTTAAGCATACAGTTTTGTATGTGGCTTATTTAACTTAGTGTAATGTATTTGAGGTTCATCCGTGTTGTAGCAGGTGTTAGTGTCCATTCCAAGCCTGAATCATATTCCACTTTATAGGCAGGCTGTGTTTTGTTTATCCATTCATCTGTCATTGGACACCTGGGCTGCTTTGGGCTGTTGTGAATAATGCTGCTGTGGGCATAGTGCTTATTTTTAACATGAAGACACATTGTGATTGTCATCCCGAGGATCAGCGTGTGCCCCTGGGCACTGGGCGGGGTGGGGGGCAGCACGTGTTGCTGCTTCTGGTCTTAGTCCCTCTCTCCCCTGCCTTTTGTTCATGCAACTGAGGTGTGTGTGTCACTCCATCCGCTCAGTGCCCCCTCCTCTGTCTCCCACACAGCCCCCCTGGCCACAGAGAGGAGCCCTACCTCACGGAGGCTGGAAGGGACGCCTTTGACAGGTTCTGCAGGCTCCGCCACGGGGAGCTGCAGGTGCTTGGTGGGGGCCTGCTGCAGGCCCCACAGCCCATCCTGGTGAAGGAGTGCGAGCTGGTGAAAGATGCGCTGAATGTCCTGATTGGGGTCGTGTCTGCCACGTTTTCCCTCTGCCAGGTAAGCAAGTGCCAGCATGCGGGGGCAGCACCAGCACCGTGTTGGCAGCCTGCCATCTGCCTGGCACTTTACAGGGTAGATGGGAGCCCGGTGCAGTAAGCGGGCGGCCTCAGATACCAGCCTCTGAGAGGCAGGGTGGGGGTAGGGCGCCATGGGTCTGCTGGGAAGTCGGCTCCATGGCCGGCCTGGAGGTCATGGCCACGGTCTTCTCGTTTCAGTTTTAAAAAGTATTAGTTTATGAACGCCCTTTTAAAACTGAACAAAAGTGAGATGTTTATTGCTATTGGTGAAACAATGGAAACGTGCCCACCGTTTCCATGCCCATCCTCAAGAGGTGCTGAGGGGCCCTCTCAGCTTTCCCTGTACTTGGATAGGGTGCACCACTCAGCCCCGAGCACCACCTGCCCTGCAGGAAGGCCCCCCCCCCCGCCCCTTCGGAGACTGTTGCTGGCTTTACTCAGTGCCCTGGGCTTCTCTCCTTGCTGGTGGGCGGGACCTTGCTCATTGGGGGCAGTAGCTGCAGTTTATCTACCTTTTGCCTCTTGCTGGGCACTCATAAAATAAATGAATGTATTTACAAGCATGAAACCTTTTGTACATGTCAGTCTGCAGAGCCTTCTTTCGTGTAAGTGCCCTGCCTCTTTGTATCTTAAGCATTCTTACATAGTGGCTGTTCTCGAACTTGAGTATGTGCTAGACGCACGGCCTGGGTTTGCTCCCGAGACATGCTGTCTTGAAGACTCCTCAGGTGATTGATGCAGGTACTGGTGTGAGGGCCACCCTCTGGAGATTTTCTAGAATGCCATTTTTATGGCCTCTTATGAATGGCCTTATTTTGGAAGCAACCCCCCCCCCTTTTTTTTTAGTTTTGGTAAAATACACATAAAATTTACCATCTTAACCAATTTTTTCTTTTTTAAGATTTATTTATTTACTTTGAGAGAGAGACAGAGTGTGCATGCGTGTGTGCGAGCTGGGTTGGGGGCAGATTAGAGGAAGTGACTCCTCACTAAGCATGGAACCCATCTCAGGGCTCGATCTCACGATCCTGAGACCAGGACCTGAGCTGAAACCAAGAGTCAGATGCCTAACTGCGCCCCCAGACATCCTCCACTTTTTAAAAATTTTTTATTGTTATGTTAATCACCATACATTACATCATTAGTTTTTGATGTCGTGTTCCATGATTCATTATTTGTGTATAACACCCAGTGCTCCACGCAGAACGTGCCCTCTTTAATACCCATCACCAGGCTAATCCATCCCCCCACCCC